TATGTCAATTTTTTGGACTGACACTTTCTTTCAGAACTACTGAGTGTGAAAGTAGAAGAAAGGAGTTCAGAAGAAGGAAAGGATGCTCGTCCTGAAGATGTTTACTGCAAAATTTTATTAAATTTATGAAAACCAGCTGTTAGCAGCTCCACTGTTTTCAAAGTGAGGATGCTCCCTCTGAATTTAACCAAAACAATAACAACAGAGTACATTATGGATAGTGAGGAGACTATATAATCTGCATTTCTTCCCCAATAAACATGGCAGTTAGTTCCTTATCACACCCCTCAGTTTGGAATACAGAATGTTAATCAACTGGACTGAGTGCCAAGGACCAGGCGCAAGCAGAGGCGGGACTTCCTCCAAACCCTGCGCTGTCATGGCAACTGCCATTTCCTCCCCCTGCTGGCCAGTGAGCCTGCACTGACTGGGGGATTGGAGTGGGGGTCACTGGCAGCACCGCAAGCACGAAGACAGCTGGCAGGGCCACAGCCTTCGTTAAGCAGCAAGCTGAAGACACCATCTGTGACTTGACCTCTTCTAACCCTAGCGACACCCGGCTAGCTGTTTGCTGCCTCATGAGGAATCCTAATCCAATTTTAATCAGTGGCTTTAGGACTCTAGGGGCCTTTTTTTAGTCAGAATGATCACCTTTAATGCTCCAGCCACTTGGGAGCACTAAATTTCTTTTTAATGTATCAAAGCCATTACATGTGATTTGGAAGGCACTGTTGGTTTTGTTGTTCATGTTGTCATGTGCAATGCTGCCTCTCTGCTACAGAAACCCTGAGCTCTAGATAACCTTCCAAAAGTGAAGCACGTGGTGAGAGTGGAGAGCTGAGAGGGTTAACAGCAGATGACAAAGATAATTTTACAACGTAATTTTAAGCCCCTACCTTTTGCAATTCTAAACTAGATTCTTGACATCAAGTATTTTTCCAGATTATAGTAATGTGGGAAATTGTGACTAAATGGATATGAAAGGCAGAAATATTGCTGTTCTAATTCAGATGTTTATCAACATAGCTTGTAGAAATTTAAATGTTTTCAGTTGTCTATGTTGATCATGCCTGTATCTTTGTTATACTGTACATTATGACATAATACTACATTTGCAAAGGAATCTAAAGAGAAAATTATTTCTCCTACATATTTCAAATAGATATTAATATATTTTCCAAAATGTTGGCTTTATTTAAGACCAAAATGCTGACAGTTTGCAGTTGTAAGATTGTAAGAATATATGCACAAATATACATTATATGTATACTCAAAATAATATGATTGATAACATGTATTCGTGCAACATATGCAGATATAATTATTATTGATTTTAATGTAGATAATATTTGGGCAATATTAATAAAATATTATAAATAATATTTTCTCCCATCTGGAATAAAAACAATTGTATAAATATAGATCCTTGTTTATTGTTTTCCTTCAACATCACTATAATAATTACAGCCCAGAATTATTTAACATTATGAGTATGAATAAATACTTTAATATATACTTTAACTTTTTTTCACATTTTTCTATCAGAACTTAATTTGGAAATGGTAAGATTCCATGCATGCCACTGGAGTAGAAGATGGAAAATGCATGGACCGCATAATTAGATTTCTTAAAAGCGGTTATTATGCACTCTCCACAACTTGTTATCCTAAGATAAGTAGAGCAACATGGCTTCAAAAGCCTGTTGGGGAAGTTTGAGGTAGATTTCTGAGTTGTAGTTGCTCTTAGAAGAAATGATCAGTTCATGCTCATATGGATTGGGGGAAAATTCCTTCTCCAGCTCAGCAGCAGGGGTCTTTCTTTAAACACAGCAGGGAAAAAGTATAAAGGACGTTAACTAACGTCTGAGGATCAAAAACCACTTTTCACAGCCTGATAATTACTCGACTTTGGTTTTGGGGGTATCCTTTATTCATGCTTCACTGCCAAGTACGATGGGCCTGCGAAGATTCAATCAGCATATACAAAGACGGAAAGTTTTTAAAGCATGTCAGACTTTTTTTTAATTTCGATGTTCAGTCCTTTAGAAGTCAGTTGGTAAATCTTCCACAGAGGGAAAAAAAAGTGTGCTTTTAAAGGTGAAATAGTAAAGAAGATCTTCAGAACTTTTTTCACAGTTCCTTCCCAGCTTTATTAACTAGGGCAGCCTGCTGTGCTGTAAAATAATCTCATGGAATGATCAGTGGTGACTTGTTCCATCAGGGTACAGGCTGATCAAACATCAGTTAAGATCTGGTAAACATGACATGCTGCTACAGTTTAAAAGAAGACTGTTTTATGTTTCAGACTTATATAAGGAGTGAAGCCGGGGTTAATAATCAAGTTGTCACCACACAGACCAGCCCATAGTTTGCAGCCCCATGGCTCAAGGACATGATCGGCTTACGATTTGTCCTTTTTTCCCCACCAGTCAGGCACCCAATTATTCAAAATGATTAAACTCATCTCCTAATTATTCTGGGTGTGCCACTAAAGGTGTGCTCTGTCATTGAGCTCTCACTGGCAGTACTGCTCTGACCACACTTCTCCCTGGATGTGCTAAGCCAGCCCGGTCAATAGTTTAGGATTGAACAAGAGGTTGAGTGGCACCTCCACAAAATGAACAGGGCTTTTGATATATTTCTGTTTCTATTTCCCCTGCACTATATAAAAATGAAATCACTGTTTTGTACCTTATTGACACCTCTGTGTTTCTGTTTCCTTAGACACACCTAAAAATGATTCTATCCAGAGCTATTTTGTTTGTAATAAAATTTAAAATATTCTAAATCTGTTTCTAGTTTTCAAAAGCCACAAGTTCAATTTTGAAAGTCTGATGAATCAGCACATTTTATTTAATTTCTCTTTGTTAACTCTAAAACGCCAAATAGAAAAGGAGCAGATGGTCCATATATTTCTTGACAAACATAACTCTTCATTATGTTTGCTAAGTGAACTCATTTGCTATGTGTTGCAAATGGATTAGTCATTGATAAGTGATCTTAGAAGAGTTCAAATTCACACGTACACTGAAGGAATCCCTAAACTTCAAAGGCATGTATGTTATACTATTTACAATACCATTCGCAGATCTATTTCCCTTACCAGAATGGTAAGTGCTGCTTGAACAGCACAGTGCAATTTAGGAAACTGGGCATGAACTAAATTGAACAAGTAAAAGGTGAATAAAATACCTGAAATTAATAGGATCACACTTCAAGACCTTGATACCACAATGACTGTGACAAAGGATAAACTGCCATCACATCCATTTTCAATCAAAGCAGTACAGTGATCTAATTTCTCAACATTAGTAGCTCTGTCACTCCCAAGTGTCCTTATGCTAGGAGAAGAACTAGTTATTGAATTTTTTTGCTCACACAGGAAAAGGAGTGCAGTTGATTTTTTGTTCTCGACTTGAGTTGATAAATGCTTTTATTAGCTTTCCCAAACTACATTGGAATCACGCAACAGGCTGAAGATAAAGTTTAAATCATGTCCAAGAAGAGCTTTTTGGCATTTAACAAGCTCCCTAGGCATGTCTGATTGATGATAATAGACAGCAATACAAATTGTAATATCCCAAATACTTTTTTTAAAACTTTATTACAATTTTATTTTACCGTGTCCCCAGGTATGCTATGATGTTGGAAAATGTGTCATATAACTGTGATGTTCTCATTAACAGTAGAAACTGAGAAAGGGAAATAACATTTGTTTTTGCATTTTTAAAACAACACATTTGGAAGGAAGCTGCCTTCTCTACTATATATACAAATGTATAAATATAAGATTATCACCTGACACTACCTATTTCTTTGTGTCTGAAGGGATCAATTATATTTATTATTTTTATACTACTGATCTTGAAACTAATACACACCTTTGGCAGATTTACTCTTACACTTTAGTGGTAGATCATTGCTGGCACTCTGCAGGAGATAAGTGTCTATCCATCTTTTACTCTGAACGAATGTCACAGAGTCACGATTGTGAGCCAAGTGAAGAGGAATCAAGTGCACACAGGAAAATGTATTATGCGTCTTACATAAATGGGCTCACATTATATCAAGGTGTTGAAATGGTACACTTAATAAAGTAATCAATCATTTAATCAGTCATGCTTGGTACTTATCTAGAATTACTGTAGATGGGGAATGTTATATAAGAATGGCCAACCTCTGTTTGTGTTCAACTGTACATCAAGAAAAGAAAAATAACGTTCTGCAAAAACAGATGAAGTAGGTGGGTCCTGGGAAATATGAACATTATAGTTCATATGACTGCAGCCACACGTGCCTGTGCCTGTAATTTTTAATATGTTTTACACTTAAACATTCTAGGTCCACAAAATCCCACTCTGATAGCTCTGGGATTATCCATTCCACACTGCTTTGACGAAGATCTTCAAATATTTCTCTTTCTGTAAACTGGAGCTGTTTCTTTATAAGGGATTTGGTAGCTGCATGCTGTATTAAAAAAGTGAACTAGAATGGCTTACAGTCGCCAAATGGCTACAAGATTGCACTGTCCCCCAAGACTTCACCTATATGTGATGTACCCTCGGGCACAGCACTATAACGGGATCCTTAAATGGCTGTGTCTCAGGAAAACCAGAGACATAAATACAGTCATAAGGTACAAACCTGTGCTCCCTTAATTTACAGTGCAGGGAACTAATTCACAACAAAACACAAAATCCTAAGATCCTTTTTGAGCTCCTAACTTACTTTTTCATGTTCTCTTTCTATGACAGCCAGACAGCTAAGCTGGTTACCAGCTCTAAAACATTTTCTTTCAAAACTCTTCTCAAAAATGTTAGTCTCTCTGTTACACTTTTTTTTGTGTGGAAAAAAACACACATTTCAAGTTCACAGGGTGAGAACTCTGTCTTTCCCTTCTGCTCCCTTCTCTTCCTGGAGAGCAGGAAAAATCGCTGCCAGTCTGGAATGCTCAGTATTCTAGTTTTAAATGTAACCAAACCAACTGCCTTCTGCCTTCTGCCTTCTGCCTTCTGCCTTCTGCTGGTCATTTTCCTTTTGGTGGCTGTGGTCTGTGGAAATGTGGTCTGGACAAAAGCCCGATCTTGTCTCTACCTTGTCGTCCACTTATAACACATGCAATACTAATAACTTTCTGTACCTGATTTGAAAAATACACTTAATTGTACATAAGGAATGTTTGACTCACAGTGAAAAAGATCTCATTAACTTACTGTACATACTGCAGAAACAATTGGTGAATCTTTGATTGTAAAATGTGCTCCAGTCCTTCTGCCCTTACAGCCACAAAGTAGTTCACAGTGATTATAATTTGACAAACAAACTAAATTTATTTTTCTCACTTGCACTCTCAAATTAGAATGCAGCAACAGGAACATGCAAAAATAACATGTCAATATGTCTCTGAAACTACTTTCGTATATTCACACCATAAGGCTCCCTGTGTGAATAAGAATGAAAAATGGCTCACAAACATGCATTCGCACAAGCTAGACTCTTTAATGTCTTCTTCGAATACGGTCTCTGGATTATTTATACTCCTCACTTTGACAACTTTACTGTTACAAAGTCCCTTTCGACGCTAAACAGTATTTCATGATAAGAGGGTCAGTCTTACAATAACTCATCCTGCTTCTGTATATTGAGCTTACTCTCATTAACACACCGTTCTGCCACAGCCCTGCCCTTCACCCAAAAACCCATCCGTACTCAACCTGCTCCCATTGAATGAACAAATCAGGTCACATATATCAGGTCACAATCGTTAAAATTGCTACTGGTTATTATTACTTCCTTCTTTCATGCACTGTTCAGGTTTGACAAAACAGTCTGGGTGTGTGGAACAAAGAGCAATAAATATTTTTGTTCTGGGAGACTTGTCTCCCAGCTCCTCCTGTTGTCACTAAAGGTTCTTCACAGCAGGTTACCACTTATGGAGCAGGATTTGCTTTTTGAAGCACCTGGTCTACGAAAAGTGCTATTCTTGTTGTTGTTGTAAAAAAGGAAGCTAAAAGAATTACAGTAGATCTATTTCACTGGCATGAAATCACAATTGTCTCATGGCATTCAACAAGCATTTCAAACGTGTTTCCGTTTCTTCAGATATTGTTTCAAGGACACTTCCTGTTTTTCCTACCTTTTGTTTTAAATTTGACATTGACACAACAAACAATATGCCATTTGCTCTATATAAAGCTAATAGAGCGCTTTACATACTATTACAGAGAAGCACGTGTATTTAAGTAAAGAAGTCAGCAGCAAAAGACCACCAGAGAGAGAAAACAATAAAATACAATGCAATACAGCCATGTAGCAGAAAAAGGTCCCATTTTCATTCAAGGTAAGTATAGCTATAAGATCTCAATCAGCAAGA